TTAAAAAAAAAATATATTTATTAGATAAAGTAATTTACATTCAATCTCTTTCAAAGTATGCTCTTTCTGAGTCCATACATGTTCTCTAACGTTCCTGCCATTTTTGAAAACACCTGTGGAAGTCATTTCTAGAAACTCTTCGTAGCTCTTCCGTCGTATTTTGTTTTATTTCATCTACATCTTGAAAATGTTTACCTTTAAGCGCCATTTTTATTTTTGGGAATAAAAAAAAAATCACATGGAGCTAAGTCTGGTGAATAGGGGGGTTGAGAAACAACTGGGATACCATGTTTGATAAAAAATTGCTGCACAACACGGGCTGAATGGGGCTGATGTGTTATCGTGATGCAATTTACAACTACCAGACTCTTTAAACTCGGGTCTTTTTCTTCGTACAGTGTCTCGTAAACGGCGAAGAACATCAATGTAGTACTTCTTTGTTATGGTCTGTCCTTTTGGAGCATACTCATGATGAACAACACCTTGGTAGTCAAAAAAAAACGGTCAACATGACCTTCACTTGACTCCGAACTTGATGAGCTTTTTTGGGTCGTGGTGAATCAGGTGTCTTCCACTGCGAAGATTGTACCTTTGTTTCTGGATCGTAGCCATATACCCAAGTTTCGTATGATTGATTTTAAAAAAAAATCATCAGATTCGGAACACTAGCAAATCAGTGGCGATCTTTTTTCGATTTTCTTTTTGCTCATCTGAAAGCAGTTTTGGAACAAATTTGGCTGCAACTCTTCTCATGTCTAAATCAGTCGTCAATATGGTTTGAACTGATCCAAATGAAATTTGAAACTCCTTACTAAGTTCCATAATTGTCAAACGACGGTTACTTCGTATTGCTGTTCATATTTTTTGGATCATTTCCTCATTGCAGCTTATTGATGGGCGTCCATCTCGTTCATCACTTTCAACAGTTGTTCTACCCTCTTTAAATCGTTTAAACCATTCAAAAACGCGAGCACGGGGCATGGTTTCATCTCCATAAGCTAAAAATAACATTTGGTAGGTTTCAGTAGCCGTTTTTCCCAGTTTATGGCAAAATTTAATGCACACTCGTTCTGTATTTTCGCTCATTATGAAATCCGACGGGACGTAAAAACACACTTGACTTAATCGCACCTAGAAGCCGACTGAGACAATTTTAATCTAATCTATGTCTAATATATTTTCCCAACATATAAAGTTAGATTAATATAGCACGTGCAAGTTCATATTCAAACCGGTTTACGATTAATCGTATCAGTCTCGATACTTTTTGGTTAGACCTCGTATAGTAGTATATAATATAGATAGTTATTCGTTTGTTATGTTTCCCGTTTTTCTTTTTTAACCATCATTTTTTCATTATCACGATTAACTTTATGCTTTGTATTACTTTTATTATTTATGTAACATTAATGGTTGATGCATGGGTTCTTGTAAGGTATTATATTTTTATATTTTTGACCACATAATGCGTTTTGATAAATTTAAAACTCGTATTATTTTACTTATATAACGCTGCAGAATACATTAAAATTAGTAAACTCTATTGGTTGTACTTGCTGATCTAAATTAAATATACTTATTCAGAATGTTTTCCGAAAAGATTGAGGAAATTAGTGTATGTGTACTCTCTTACTCTTTGGAGTGGCGAAATGAAGAATCATTTGAAATTTTTTTCCCTTAATAATACCTGGGTTTTATCTAATTCTCTTTAGAAAATTATTTCGAATCTAAAAATTAATACTAGTAAGAGATTTCTTGCGAATTTCTCATGTGAATCGACATGTGACGTGGATTTTGGGCTTGTCTCGCGTTTTTCACGCTTAAGTCACCAGGTACAAAAGTTGTGGTGTGACATATCAATTTGTATGAGAACTCTGCAAAATAAACAAAGGTAATATTTATTTTTTGTAATTTCACATAGGTATCTGATTAATTAATACGGTTTTCATTGAACTTCAAATACATTTTGTTTAATTATGATATTAATTTACAATAAAACTGTATTTATTAATCTGATATGGGAGATAACAGTATATAAATGCCAAATTTGTATATCTTGCAGATATATATTACTTATATAAATACTCATTACTTGTCATATAGGCATATCCACATATGTAAATAAATAAATAAATAGGACCAAAATGAAGTAAATAAAACATTATTAATGGATAATTTTACAATGTATAGTTAAAAAAAACATTTTAAAATATAACAACTTATATATAAATACATAAAAACCAATATTAAATTAAGAAAAATATGTAGAAATTTAAATTTTTTAAAAATTACATGATATCAGACCATAATCAGTCATTGTGCTATATAAACACAAGGTCCATTAAAATATCAACAAATTAAATACATTTAATATCATTACAGTATTTAATCTTATAAGACTGTAGATGTTTATTAAAATGTTTATTAAATCCTAATGTACTCATATGTTGACCGATTAAAAATGGTAGGTCACATTGTTGTTAAAAAAATATTATTTTATTGTAACGAATATAGGCATATCTTTAACGTAAATTATAATTATCATTCTCAGATTGGTTGTGAAACGAGTGCTTTAAATATTTTATTTTGAATTTGTTTTGTTCTATTTTTAAGCAAATCTAATACTTTTTCTATGTTCGATGTATCTAACTCTAGTATAATGGTATACTTAGAATGTGTCAGCGCCATGTTGCTTTGTGCGAACTTATCGAAAATCATACGTTTCATACACGTGATCGTGAAACGAATAACCAACAACTGGACCAAATAAAAGCCGAACTAATTTATATGATTAAATTTAAGATATTTACATATAAATTATTGAATAATATTTTCTAAAATTTTCAATACATATAAGTTTTTTTAAAACGTAATGGTGCATGAGTAAAATAAATAAAGTTGAATTGTAGAATGAAGTATGTTATGAACACTGTATGCACTTAAGCGGCATCCATATTAAACAAATATTTTACAAGCGTTTGATCAAACTTTCGTCAAACATCCAAAATATTCAACAAAAAGTTTGTCAAAAGTTTGTTCGGCTAAACATGTTCACAGACAATTTTTTTTATCGATTTCCCAAATAAAATTGTTCGCTCATTATTTGAACATAATGGCATACATTTTTTGAGAAACAAAATTATTTCATACAAATAAATGTTTATTAACTATGTACTATTTTTTAATTTGAGGTATACACTTTGGAGTGTGGTTGATATTTTAAATCGCTCTTCTTCTTGAAGTTTGGTCATAACCACCACTGGTATTATCTTAAATTAATATTTACAAATTATATAAAAATAAGTAAAATAAACAGTAATTAACAGTTTAACAAATCATTTTTAAATAAAACACTCTCCAACATAAGACATCATATGATTATAATTGTTGACTAAAGAACTGAGCAAACATATAGGCAAACGAATAAAATGTTTATTTTGATAAAATGTTCTACAAACATAAGGTAAACATTTGACGAACGATGGGCAAACGTTCGACAAACTATGTTTCCCCAGATGTTTTTTAGATGTGGACACATGTATAAGCTGCAACTTTAAACACCAAACAATAAATGGCCATACAAGAAGGACTTCAAATTACGGATTACAGTAAATACCACAAGTATAACTCAAATACCTATTGTCATTTGAAATATTTTAATATTATAACAAAATCAATGATATCTTTTGTATAAATATACACGTTCCCAATCGTAGTTACGGGCTTTTGGTCCACCACAGTACCCCACACAAAATCTGATTGGCCGCAAGTAGTGGTATACGAAACGATTTTTTAAATTTTTAATATTTCATTCGACTACTGTTCTTACAACCATTCAGAAATTAATTGGAACCTATTGAAATAGTTAAAATATATTTAACCATATGCTGTGATTCAAAACAATATTTATTGTAAAATGCATATAATTTAGACCAACAAAATACTCATGGTACTGTTAACTAAACATTTTGTTAAATGTTACTCTCCATATAATTTAGCCAACCTGACAAATACAGTCATTTACTATAACCAAATTAATTAGATATTTTATAATAAAAATGTTCTATGACTAATCTAATATAATTAATGCTATACTTGTGCTGCATTTAATATTTATTGTATCATATATAGTCGTAGATTAGACTAAGCCTAAATTTATTTTAAGCGTAAGGGTTGGCCGTTGAGTATTTGCATATCTCCTATTCGATATTCGACCCTAATCCCCTTGACTCCAGGGGAAGCCTGTAGCCATGAATTAGCCTAAAGGGTACTACCACCCAATTGGTCGAAAGACAGTGGTATCATGAAATACCCTATGACATTACCTCTGAATAAATCTCATTTTTAGTTAAAATCGAACGTTTTATTCATAGGCGCAACTAGGGGGGTGCTTGGGGGTGCTTCAGCACCCCCAGACTTTAATTTAGCACCCCCAGTTCAAAAACACCATAAATTGTAAAATTGCGTGAAAAAAATAATTTTGTTCATTTTACGCAAGTTATTTTTATTTGTCGTTTTTAGCAGAAACACAAATTGTTTGTGATGATTATAGTTATACGTTATATCAAATATTACGTGATATAATATATTAATATCGACAATATCGTAGCAGTCATAGATAATAAATTAGCAGCACGATTAAATATGTATATCTAAAATCGTGGTTAGCAGTAATCAATTGATATAATTTAAAAATATGAGGGTTAGATAACAGATAAGTGATAAATGGATAAAACCAGTAGTTTATTTATAGAATACTGTCACTGTAGTTTATTCGATAAATCGCCAAATGTCATTGTTCGGCTGTTCCACGAATTAGCTATTTGTTTATCAAAAATCATATTATAATGTATACTCAATACTGTATACCGTATACGTTCTACTCATTGACCATTGTCATTTTCTAAACCCATTACTGTACGGTTGACGGTTGTAATAAAATATATTTTGTTTTCTCATGTGAAGTGTTTTAACTGTAACCTATAATATAAATTTCAAAATGTATAGTATTTTTAATAGATTTAATAAAAAAAAACAAAAAAAATAATCACTCTATAGAAGATGAAAATATTGACGACCCTGGAACCACTCGTCAAAGTTCATCATGTGAATTAAAAGGAAATATTACAGTGGCACTTCCAGGTACCTATATAATATTAAAATAATTGAACTGCTCATCGCAATAGTAGCCTATTCCATCAATACATTAGAGGGAGTAAATTAGCTTAAAAGGTTTTATATTTAAACTTAATTTTTTTTTTTTTTTTTGGTTTTTGTACGTAGTATTGTATTGAAGTTCAATCCTTCTGCGTTTTTTGGAATTAAAAGACTTAATTCTTCGTAGTTTATGTTAAATTTATAACTTTTACTTTTATACTTTTTGCACTTTTTTTATTCAAAACAATTTATTTCAAAGTAAGCCAGTTTTGCATTTGTCATAATATTTATTTTTACTAAACAATGTATTGTTATTTAATTTTTATGGAGCAGGGCACTATACTTTACTTGTTAAAATTTTATAATAAACAAGTTTTTTTCAAATGGTTTTATATTAAAGAATGTGAAAAATCGCCACAGTCAAATTCAAACATTGCAACGTATTCTGGTTTAAGTTTAGCTGACTTAGGTACATTGGATACTGGACCATGTCGCCCTGTTCTCTCTGTAAGTTTCTTTTTGATTTTTAGAAAATATATTAATACTATGGAAGATTTTGCTAAAATAGAATGTATTATGGTATATATAAAACCATTATACATTACTACATTAGCTATTTTATTATTAAATTAATATTTATCAAATAAAATATTTTATATTGAGGAATATTTTAAATTAAGTAATTTAAATATAAAAATGTTTAAAATATATTTTCAATTGTTAACTTTACCATTATAAAAATAAATAAACATTCATATCATGGACCTCATAAGTTTATTTGAATCCTTATAGGCTTACATAAAAACAAAATTTGGAAAGCAGTATAGGTCATTCCAAAGTGAATGGTATACAAATTATGAATGGTTAGAGTACAGCATAAAATGTAATGCTGCGTTTTGTTTTGTTTGCCGAATGTTCGGTACTAGCAAAGTTGAAGATATATGGACAAAAACTGGATGTAACAATTGGCAAAAAGTAAGTTACTTATTTAATTTTACAAATTTTTATAGAAATCTATAATTGATTAAATTAAATTAATTTTTTTTTTAATGAAGGATTAATCTATCAATAATTATGTATACATTCATAACTAGTTGTGCATAGGATATATTTGTATACTTAAAACATAAGTTTTATTAAAAGCTATTAATTGATAACTATATAAATGTGAATATACCTACTATTTAGTGTGTTAAGTAATTAATTTCTTTATTGTTAATTAAATTAATTTTGGTGTCTTTCAGTTTATTGTAAAAATAGGGAAACATCAAAACAGTGATGTACATAAAACAAATTTGACAAAAATGGTTGCATATACAACAAGCAAACAATCTGGTTCCATAATGGCTAAATTATCAGATGCTCACCACAATCAAATTGCAGAAAATAGAGCTTATATGGCCCAATTAATTGAAATTGTTTTGTATCTTGGTAAACAAGGTGTAGCATTACGGGGACATTCTGAGACATCTGATTCTTTAAACCAAGGTAATATAATATTAATAAAAAAGTAAAAAAAACTTGATTTCATTAAGTAATAAATAATATATTCAAGGTAATTTCAAAGAACTGTGCAATGTGTTTTCAAAATGTGTTCCAAATTTTAAAAATTATTATGATATTAAAATCAATCACACAAGTTGGAAAGTACAAGAAGAAATCATTCAAATAAGTGCTGATTATGCTAGGGAAAAAATAATTAAAGAAATTATAAATACTGGAATTTTTGCTATTATGGTTGATGAAGCCAGGTAAATTAAAAATTGTTTAACATTTGCCTGTAATCTGTTTTTATTATTAAAATTAAATTAAAATTGTTTAGATCTTATAAACAAGAACAATTAAGTATTTGCGTTAGATATGTGATTGGTCTTGATATAGTTGAAAGATTCTTAGAGTTTGTGGATGTCTCCAGTGGACAGGACGCTAACCATATTGTTGCAGCCATTTTCAAATGTTTTGAAAAATTAAAAATTAACATGTCAACTTTATACATAGTAGCTCAGTCCTATGATGGAGCAAGCGTTATGAGGGGTTGTCTTGGAGGGGTGCAGGCAAAAATCAAAGAGCATTACCCTTGTGCACTTTATACACACTGTATGGCACATCGACTGAATTTAGTTGTTGTGGACATGTGTAAAGGAATCAAAGTATGTACTTTACAATATTATAATCTTTAATCTTATTTATGTGAATTTATAGAATTACTTTTTAAATTTTTTGTAGATTGCTCGAAGTGTTTTCAACATACTTGAGTCTGTATACGTACACTTTTCTCGCCCGTCCAACAGTTCTGAGTTAGTTAAAATTCAATTACAATTAGGGTTAAAGAAGGGTAATATTCTCAGGGTGTGTGATACACGCTGGATTTGCAGATATAAGAATTGTGAATCAATGTTGAACAATTATTCTGCAATTTTAAATTTTTTGAACAATGAAGTTGAAGTTCAAGCAGATAAAGATGTTGTTGAAGCTATAGGTAATGCAAATTGATTGATATTTTTATTATCTATGATATTTGACAATTATGAGTTCATTAATTTTTATAGGTATTCTAAACCAGATACAAAAGTGTCAATTCCTTGTTGTTATAATTATATTAAAAGAAGTTTTGAGCATTATAAATATTCTAAGTACTTCTTTACAATCTAAGACAGCAACTTTAGGTAAAGCAAGAAATGTGATTAATGGGGTCATCCAATCATTTACATGCCTAAGGTCTGATGATGAGTTTTCAAAATTATGGTCGACAGTTTTAGAGCTATCTAAGAAATATAATATAGAATTAAAAGTTCATCACATTGGTTTGTTTAAAAAAATATTATTTGTATTAAATTCATATGTAATTAAAATTATTTATTGAGCAAATATTAAATTATTGTTAATGATTATAAAGGATCAAAACGTATAAGAGCACAACCGATTCATTTAAGGGAATTCCATTTGGAAACAACAACAGGTGCTGAACAGGATGATCAAATTAATGCTACAGATTCAGTAGAAGTGTATTGGAGGCGCTCAGTTTACTTTCCTATAATTGACACTATTATCAATAACCTAAAATTCAGATTTTCAGATGAAAGTCTTGAAATGGCTAGTTCGATTGATTGTTTTATGGAAATGGACTATGAAAAGAGTCAATACTTTATAAATCATTATAAAGTGTGTTATATTTCAATGCAAGTGATTTTTGTTATGTACTAATAATAATAAATTAATTAATTTTAATTTAAGGTTGTTATGAATATCAATTTGAATTTGTTGAAAGCGGAAATGCTTGTTATAAAGAACTGCTTACCTTCCAATTATAATCATGATGTTACTAAAGATATTTGTAAGGAGTCCACATTTCCAAACGTGTATAAAATGTTACAAGTTGCTCTTACAATTCCGGTGAGTTCTGCTACTTGTGAAAGAAGCTTTTCCTCAATGCGTCGTCTAAAAAACTGGCTAAGGGCAAGTATGGAGCAACAGCGTTTCACAGATTTATCAATATTGAATATTGAAAGAGATATTGTTAATAAAATTACTTCATCAGAAATACTAGAAAAATATTCAACTACTAAAAGAAAAATAATATTAGTATGACATGTAAGAATTTTGAATTATATATTTAGTTATAAAATGTACCTTATAAAAGTAACTGCTAAAAATTTTAAATTATATTATTAATACATAATAATTTTAACAAATTATAAAATAGATTTTTTTATTTGTATCGCCTAAATAATATAATATATGTAATATCAGGTATATTACTGTTAGTATACTTAAATATTGTGTGCCATGTTTTTATGGTTCATTTAAGAATGGTTATAGTAATTATAAGATTTAAATATGGTATTTGGGGGTGTGGGGGCATAGCCCCCACGGGTCTGTGTCCTCTACATAATTTTAGCACCCCCAGTGTTTGGCTTCTAGTTGCGCCTATGGTTTTATTATATTTTAATGTAAAGAAGTTTATATATTGGTATAACCTGTAATCAATGAGCTCTCTCGATTATATTAATTTCTTTTTTCTACTATAAATGTGTAACTTGCTCTTAATCTTCACTACACATACATAGATTTATAATTATTTAATATAGAAGGGGGATAGTCCAAATTATATATTTATATATTAAATACATCAAAAAATATTAAAGCATATATTTTATATTATAGATATATTTTGTATAAGCATTTGAAATTTGTATTTATTACATTATTTTTAAAATATATAAGTTTTTAAAGAATTTATCTCAGTATATATGTATTTTATGTCTGAGCATATACGTGTATAATTAAATATATTGATTATTTTTTTAAAATCTTAATTATATTGAAGCTGAATTGCTTTAAATTATTTAGTACTGGAAATAAGTCTACAATTATATCTAAAAATTGTAAACATATAAAAATACACGTTAATTATGAAGTATTAAAACTTACCTAAATCGGAATCCATTATTAGTATTAACAAAAATTTTCATGTATTTTTGTGTTACAGAAGTTTTTGCGTTTTGATGAGTTCATTATTGTATATTTGATTTTCAAATTAATTTCTTATACCATACTAATTAAAATTACATTTTTATAGTTCAATAATCTGCAGAGTTTATTACAATCATATTTAAAATAATATATAATATATTTACAGAAACATTTTATGTTTAACTAATTTAAAATTATATACGAGCGTATATAATAAAACTATTCAAATAGAAAAAAAAAATGAAATAAAATCCCTCGGGTAATATCAACCTAATTGGACCACCCTTTTCCATCCTTTTGAAGAGGAGGAGTGATTTTGTACCCTTTATAAAGGGGTCAAAACGGAAATGGCACTGTATATAATACAAAAAAACTAAAGCTTTCACCCTAAGTCTTGGAGCACAATAAGCCATTAGGTTATACATATAGAAATATAAGTATTCTGAGTATATGTACTTTTGAAAAATGTATCATCAAGGCAACCCCCATTTATAAGTGTTTAATTATATAGTTTAATTTTTTCAATTTATTCAGTGTACAATTAATTGTTTTAAAATATCCTATACATTTAACAGTTTGATGTATGATGTACATAATTGTAATATACATTTATTGTATCCATATTGAAGTTTATTTGCTTTTTATTAATTATTATTTGAAATAATTTTTATCGAGCTTCATTTTAAATAGTTATCAAATTTCGTTAGTAGATGTATGAAATTTTAAACTTAATTTAAATTTATTCTGATAAATTATATTTGCGATTTATATATTTGATGTAAAATATTTTGTAGCTAACTAATTTAAATAATAAATAATAAATACTTCAAAACACTTTAAATTTATCCGTATTTTACTCCAAAATTAACTAAATGGATATTTTAATATTTATACAAGAAATGATCAACGTAATTGTCAATTTTTATTCGTGATTATTTTTCGATATAATTCAACAAAAGCCGACAGGTAATATGTTTTTCTTTTTTTTAATTAAAGTGTATTCTGACAATTCCAGCGATGCAATATGCTTATAATATTCTACTGCAACAGATTATTTTTTTTTAATGCGTCCACCCCATTAGTCTACTACAAGATCCGCTCGAGCAGCGTCACACCCTTCATCCATCTCACCCTGTCTATACGACTACATCATTTTTCGATTATGTTCCGATGTTTAACCACACGTTTGAACACGCTCTAACAAATTCTGACGGATGCTTTGTACCCTTCCTGTGGGTCTATTTTTATCACATGATTTAGTTCAAACGTATAGAATTTACACTAAAGGAGAGGGAGATTATTATTCCTCCGAATCGAGCCACGAACCCCACGTATTCATTATTTTTAGATGTCCTTATGTTTTTTAGATCATCATGGTATGAACAGAACGATTCCTGTGGGGTGGTCTATACAGTACACTATAGGTTTATTAATAAACGCATAATACATCTTATGTCAACGAATGAAATTAAACTTTGGCAATTTTAGTAAAGTTTTACTTTCTAAGTGGTAACTTTTAAAATCTAATATTATAAATGTTACAAGAAAATAACAGTATATTTATGATTCATGAAAATTTATATTAACTAGTCATGTATAACAGATTAGTCTGCTGTTTTAAATTAAAACTATAAAACATTCTTAAATACATTTTTTTTAAATATACACTAATTAAATGTATGATACTTCTAATAAAAATCTTTGAAAAAGTCAGTTACCTAACACAAACATAGATATAAATTACATGTCGTTTGTAATTGTAATCAATCTAAACATTTAAAATATAATTAAAAGTGAAATAAAGAATAAGTTACACATAGTTTCATCACATTTTTAACAATACCACCGATCATCTATATAACTTGAACAATAATTCCTTCATAATGAATTCACGTATATTAAATGTACCGTTTGTTTTTAATAATATTTATTTTCAGATTTTATTTCTTTACAATGTATGTTGTTTGTATGCTCATATGTTCTAATGTCATAGATAAAACACATATACAAAGTCAACGAAATGTCAGCACTCTTATGGTGATATTTTTTTCTACGCAATCGACAGTCCACACGTTATAAAGAATAATATAACATACAGTCCGAAGCAGTGTAATGTATAATAAATTTGCTTTTGTCCTGCAATAGACGTCCGTTTTGAAATTCCGTACGTCTTAACGTGTAGGTACGTCAATTTTTTGTCACAATAATGATTTCGTCCGAATTATAAATTCCGACGTGCCTGTTTTTATTTTTTTTTTTAAAAGAATTTCCCATTGAATACTAATGAATTACAACAACAATAATAATGCGTGTATGTGACAACAAATCCATTCTATAAATAATATTAAAAACGAAATATTTTTATAAAAGAACAATTTTTTTCCTGCAATATTATAAAATTTATATTCTTATAAGACACTTGTGCATACAGTAGGTATAGTTTGATCATTTAATATCAATGTTTGTTAATATTACGCCAGTGCTTCATTACCTGTTATACGATAACATATATATATATTGATATTATAAGATGTATTCAGTGTTATTGGGTTACCTTACAATGTTTTAATCAGTGAATATTTTAAGGTCAACATTAAAACGTAAATTTTTCACTAGACCGAATTTACTCTGCGCTTCGGCAATTGGATATGAAAAAAATACGAGTAAATTAATTTATTTGGGGGGGGGAGTTATAATTTGTGAAAAAAATATATAATATATAAGCCACACGTTTATTTTTATTCTTATAGTTAATTAAGTAGCTGTTAAATAATTAATAAAATAATAATTACATATAAATACACACAATAATAATATTAGTACGATAAAATGAGTAATAATTAGGGACCGGATTTATATGCAAATGCATATATGTATTGGAATAAGCTTTTTAAAATCTGATGAGCATTGTCTCCGATTTAGATCTTTCTTATCAAAATAACACTAATTTTATTTTGCATATTTTGCATATTTCAACATTTTTACCTATTAAATGCATATTCAATGCATATTTGTAGTCATGGCCGGCGAGAGGGTGGGGCAGGGAGGGCTAGAGCCCCGGGGCCCGTACGTTCTAGAGGGACTGTCGTTTCGGCCTTGTATACCATGTTTTTGTCGTGCCAAAGCATGTACAAGTGGTCTTGGTGCGTCTCGGTCAAATAACTGCAAAGGAAAGGCGGCCCGGAACCCCCGCAGCCCCGGGGCCCTCAGAAGTTCTCGCCGGCCCTGTTTGTAGTTTTATAGTGCATTTTATTATTAATAGCACATATATTCGTTTTCGTCGTATTTTCACGATCACAACAGCCACATAATATCGATAAAATTGCGACCGGTTCTTATTTCCAAAGATAAGATTACATACTCATATCATCCAATGCAATAAGGTAAAATATGAATTCAATTTTTGTTTTCACTTTTTATTAACGTTGGTATTTATATTTTATAGATTGAAGATAAAGAATGTTAAATGGCGATAAAGACGACAAAATATTTTAAAAGCTTTTTTATCCTTTTTTTAATATCGTATTAATTAATGATTATTTTTACATTTATAACACTACATTTATAATATTTGTACATAATTTTAAACAGCATTTTAAATGAATATTTAAGTACATATTTAAAAATAAATACATATTTTATAGTATATTTCAGCATTTTTAGAAGCATATTTTGAGAATTTTTTGTGCATATAAATCCGGTCCCTAGTAATAATTATCGTTTTAATACAATTATCGTACCATTAATAGAATGTGATGGTATGACTATGTATGAATATAATTCATTATTATGATTCCGAACAAGGGCAGGGCTGAGGATTGCATTTATTTAGCATGAAGTTTTTTTTTTCTTTTTGATATTATAAACCTATACAGAAAAAGTTTATTACAACTTATTTTATCTAATAGAATTCGATCTAAATATTATTGAATTTATAGAAGTAATTTTTTCAAAAGTTGTTTTCAGAGTTATTGAAAAGCATGTATGTTTTATCTCTTATATGACTTGCAGATAGAGGAAACCACACCCGTAGGTATTGTCTGTTTTACAAACGTACAACACAGCAAATTCCCTTTCAGTAGTTTGAAAATATTGTGTCGTCAGCTACAATATTAGATTAAACTGACCCACCAATAAATATTAAGGATGAAATAATATCTCTAGTTGGTCGTTTTTTACGATATTTTAATTTTTAATCGAGTTTTGAGTATTAGGTATATTATCTTTATCTTAGAAAAATAAATGAAACAGACTGCACTCATGATCCTGATAAAAATTTCATATTAATAGTATTCAAAACTTTGAATTTATATTTTGTTTAAATGAATGAAGTTTTCGAACTCACCAACACCTTATCCATTATATAAAAAAAAAAACATATTTTCTACTGTTTCAATATTAACAGCAGTTTCTATTGTGGAGCACAATATCTTCGCAGTGATGATAGTTTTGAACAAGTTTGGATGGAAACAGAATAACTTTACAAAGCTTCCCGAAGAATTAATTTTTTCACCCATAATTCCAAGAATAATATCTTTAAGATTAGGTGGTGATGAAACTTAAATTTCGAGAAACGTAGAATCTTATTTCGAAATTAATATTTATTTTCTTGTATTAGATAAAACCATAAATTATATAAAAATAAAATTAGTAAAAGACAATTTAAAAATATTTAATTTGCTTTTTAAAATTACTTAAGTACTAGAAACTATTAAAAATTAATACATCCTAGTAATTTGTAACACCAACAATATTAACTTCGGTGGTTTAAAGGCAGAATTAAAACTACATGTATGGGAAAATGTGTTTATCAAATATTGCTGAAAATATAACATATTTATACAACATATTTTAAGGCCAGAAGTTAGGAGTCCTACCTGCCACATTGTTACGATAAGTTGAAAATTACAGTTGTGAAAATTGAATATATATAAGTTTATACTTATAATGTAATGATAACCAGTTATTATTATAGAAGTGGACATGCAAGAGTAACGGATGTAGTTAATTGATTATTATACGTGGAATTCGAATGATAATACAAAAAATTATTAATAATAAATAGGTATTATGTACAAAATATATCGTGAAAATTGTTTCAAAATGTAAAGACCTGTTTTTATTATGATTAAAAAGTGAAATAAAAAAAGAAACATCTGTACTCACATTTCAAATTGCGTAGTTTAGCAGTAGTTTAATTAATTTGTGTCATAATCATAAATGTGTTTAATACATTATTTATTAGAAAGTATATAAATATATGATATTACAATTATTCGGAATGTACATTACTTTTATCGTCTAATCTAATCTAATTTATTATCTTTATATAGACGTACCGATGTGAAGTATGTCAGTATACATACTTTTCCTCCCTTACGTAACAATAATGTATAAACATTGAGTATAACATACGATTATCTCATGTTATAATATATTATGTTATATTTTGTAACACATCATCTATTTTTATTATTCAATCTAGCCTATAAATACCTTGGAATATAAGCCCCGACATCGAAGCCTTTATATATCTAATGTTGACGAGAGCTTGTTATTTATATAAGAGGGGTCGTGTAGAGTAGGAGGCCATACCGATCTATATGTTTATATTATAGAATATAAACAAAGGGTTAGTTATTTTGTGCACCATGAATTAATTACATTTATTTTGGAATATTCTTTTTATAGAAATAATTCTTTGTTGTGCGATTAGCCAAATTGCAATTGTAATGAAACAACGATATAAAGAATTAAAAAAAATGAAAAGGAGCTGCACTCCAGTCAAATATAGATGATGATCGTCAAACTCGACCCCGCTCAAAAATGCTGATATTTATATCTTTATATCACATATATTTCATTTAATGATATAGTAGTTTTGAAGACTAATGGTTTTAATTAGAATATATCACAAAATGTGTTTAGTATATTCCGAAAAAATTGTGGTTATAACAAAAATATATTTAAGTGAAGTATTATTATTACGCTATATTATTTTTTCCATGTAGGTACTTATGTTTTGTATATAAATGAACTTATTAAAAATAAGTTAATTTTTTCAAACATCTTACTTGAACGAGTACAGTTACTATCCGCACAAATCGACTATCCATACTCCTTCGGTCCCAATTAATGCGGATAATCGACGCTCCACTGTGTTTTAAAAAATTAAGAACTGGACCATTATCTCGTACATAAAATAGTTTTGAAACACCTCGAAAAATGCTGTAATAAAACGTAATTACATAACTTTCAAAAAGATTACATTGGCAGTGCCGACCCTATGGTGGTGAGCAGCGCGGTTGCATCAGGCCCCGCATACTATGAATTACGAATATCATTTTGCATAAAAATAATCTTATAATAATACTGTCGCCGAAAAAGGTTTATTCATTGTTATTGTCAACAAATATCAAGACTGTATCAAAAATTTTAAAGTTTATAAAATTATATTAAAAGCTGACGTTTTATATCAAAAAATTGAAGGTGTTTTAAATACGAACATTAAGTAACGACACAAAATGTCGTTAGTTTTTTTGAGTTAATCGTCAACAGTTCGATTGTTTATTATCCTCTGTTGAGTTTGAACTGAGTAAAGCACCCAGTAACATAATCACAGGATTATTACGTACTTCTTGACTTAATATTCCTTCTCGATCAGGCAAAAATACAACTTGAGAAAAATATTGTGATTCCGGCCAAGTATTTAATAATATAAAATAGAAAATAATATCGAAAGCCCCTAGCGACGGTCGCTGTACACTGCTTTCGGTTAAGTAGAGCCGCGTATCGAAGTGGCCCATTCGAAGTCGCAAATCCGCCATCGAAACCAGTCCATAGGAATCGCGTCAAAACAGTATGGTCGCGCCGTACCTTAAACATATTATAAAATTAAAACAACCTATTAATAGAAACGATATCGGTATTGAGTAGGACGGAAGACAAAAAATAATAACTAATATTATCAAAACTGAAATGATTACACTATTATTTGACGCACGAGAATAAAAATTTAAAAATGAAAACAAACGATAAGACATATATATTTTATTATCTCGGTACGAAAAAAGATTATAGTTTATTGTGTGGGTAAATTTTTAGTAAACGGGAAATTTCAGTATTGAATTAGATACTTGGATAAAAAAACTAACAATAGTTAAAAAAAAGGGACGTTCCCGAATCGTACGAGACGTCTGACGATCCTGTATAAGTTATATATGTTACCGGCAATATGGATTATTTAGGTATTTTGCAAAATGCCTAGACATTATGCAAATGTCAATTTATTTTTAGGCAAAGTACAAAACATTTTATTATATATTATATTACATTAAGATTCTTATAATTATTATACATTATTACTCATATTACAGACAACATTTAATTTTTATCTATTATTGTATTATTACTATTATATAAATATTTTACTTACATAAACTACTATTTACTTATTATAACATGTTGTAGAAAAGTGACATTTTGAAGTGCACAAAATGTTATTTTTAAGACAAATACACTTTTAATTTTGACACTTGTACTTACAAACACATTTTAAAAATCTTTGGCCAATTCTTGTGGATTGAATTTTTATCAACTCATAATATACTGTTCATCGGATTAAAACTAGTATTAATGGCCAAATTTTTAAAAAAATGTTTGTAGTTCGTAATAAAAATTTGACTTCATATAAATCGTAAGCATAGTATTGCAACACCATGACGAGACAAGAAAATGACGATATTGTAATAAAATTATTTGTACGTTCAATATTGTACCACAGAATTATTATTATAGTAATAAAAGAATATTAATCTTTATTGCGTTAAATCGTAAACGCACATTTATGATAAACGATAAGTAAAGTCGTTGGTAATAGGCGATGCTCAATTTTGTTCGTTTTCATCATATTGCCTACTCAGTGGCGTATTTAGGCCGGGGCCACCGGGGCCTGGACCCTGGAGCCCTCAAGGTATGTCCAAATTGGGAGCCACAGGACCTTTATTATTACAATTTTTTTTTAATTACATTCATATAGAAAATAATTTGATCTAAAATATGAAACATAAAATAAAAATCTTCAGTGGTAGCATTCAATTATCTTGTATATTATACAATATGTATAAACTAAAAAAGAAAAAAGAAATATTTATGGAGTACGATGGCATATGAATGACTGAGGCATATATTTCTATTTAGAATAGGCGATTAAATGGCTATTAAATTTGGAAGGAATAATTGACTAGTTTGCTTAAATGAAGGCTCAAAAAGATAATTTTTAAGTATAATACTATAATATATATTTTTATTATTGTTTAAATAATAAAATAATAAATATATTTAATAATTATTATGAGCTCATGAATCACCATTCAACAATTTATATTTGTATTATAATTTAATTTCTGGGTTAAAGGGGACCTCTGACTCTTATGGCCCTAGGGCCACTAAATTCCTCACCACGCCACTGTGCCTACTCCTCGTTTGGCATTATACATAATACCTAGGCAAAGCTCGCATTATGTACATTGCAGAGTGATTTTTAGCATTTTACATAATGCCTGGGCATTTTGCGAAATACCGGATTGTCCATATTGCCGGTGACATGAATACATATTCGGTGAAAATTCGTGTGCCGGGTTCGTAGAAAAATACGGCAGCGTCGCGCGCCGGCGTTTCGGCTCTGTACGGTCGCGCGTAACGTTGACGCACGTCGCCTTGCCTCGCGCCACCGCCGGATACGAACGACGACGGCGACGAGGAGGAAGAGTCGGAGGTGGTAGAAACGAAACGCGCGCGCGAAAAATCCGGCGCGCGGTAGGTACGGGAAGGAGTACGAACACGGTGCGACGCCAGCGGTTAACGTTTTATTTTATTTCGTTTCTCGGTGCGCGCACGCACGCGCTCGCGTCCTGAACCATTTGTACCGCACCGCAAGCCGCGGGTGACATTAGACCCGAAATACCGGCGCACGACCGTTTTCGTTCGATTCGAACCCGAACGAACGGGAAAACAATTGTCCAACGCTTTTCACGTGTCGTAGGTAAGTCAACGACGTGTTGCCCATCCGATCCCAACACGTTTTACGATTTCGTTATTACGCTCGCATGAAAGTATTGGCCGTTTTAAAATGTACATCTCCAACCTACGGGTCGTTGATTACGTTTACACGTTTATTTTCTATTATTTAACGTACGCACCGTTTCGACGGGTTCGTTTTACGGTTTTGAATATCGCACCCCGAATTTACCGACCGAAATGTGTTCGACGATGAATTTCATGGCCCACGTAACATTCAAGGTACGTTCGTAGCTGTCTCGTCCGCCATTCCACCATTGGAGTAAACATGAATTAGGTACAGTTTATTTTTATTGCATATTTTCCTCGTGTACACGCAGGCACGACATTAGTTTTGAAAACTCAAACGTTGTCCCGAAAACACAACGCGTATCGTTGATTTTGGCGACAACGTACGTGGTAAATATAGACTCCGGTATTATTGATGTAACCAGAATTTAAACGTTTCAACACACACCATGTTATACAACACGCCCATACGTTCTAAGTGTTTTCTGTTCAGGTACATCTTTCGAGATTGTTAAAAAAGAAAAACATTTTCATGAACCCGGAAAATGGTATCGATTTCGCCCGGAAAATTTATGTCTCCGGAACACTCGCCGTCGGTCGCGCGTACGACGAAGCGATGAATAATAAATGACGATGAAAAGCGGAAATATCGCGTATAAAATCGTAAATAAAATAAAAATAATAACGATAATTAATAATAATAGGTTACGACGAACAACAGTGGCCGCACTGTCCCCGGGAGGTTTCTATTACAATTATTATTATTATTGTTATTTCGTTTTATTTCAGAGCCGCCGCGCGTACACAGCAGCGCACACGAACAAAACTATGCGCCGCGTGTGACGCCGCCGCCGCCGGTAGCGCGGTCCGTTCCTAAAACGACTCAAGGTCGACTCGATAAACGCGGATTTCGCCGCGCAGTGTTGCCAACTCGACGGCGCGTACCCGGAGGTGCGGCGGTGCGACGGCGCGACGGCGGCGTTGTTGTAATTAGGACGACGACGGGTGACACCGAGCGCCGGCCGACGCCCGTAATTGTCGCGCCCGACCGTGGCCGACGCGATTCCTTCCCGACCGGTTACAACGCACGTAACAATGATAATTACCGCGACGATGACGTTTCCTTGTTTTTTTTTTTACGCGCGTGCGTGCGCGTACGTCTCTCCGTGCGCCCGACTGGTATTGTTTTCCTTTTTTCGTTTCCCGTGCGCGATTTTGTTATCCCGACCGATTTCCGTCGCTTGCACGTTTTTCATACCGTTCGAACACTGTTAACGTACAACTGTATCGCGTTAATTCCACCGCCTATCATATAACCTGTTGCCTACTGTTGTTGATTGAACGCGTGATTACCAATATGAAAATAAATAAAATACACGCACGTGTTAAAAAAAAATATTTCCCTTCCGTCGCGATTCGCGGACGGGTTATTACAAAGTCATATGTTTAAAACGCGACGGTAAATAAACGGCCGTACGATTATCGGTAATCGTGTTGTAGCTCCGACAGTGTGTTTTGCAAGACCCACCGAACTTTTACATTGTTCCGATCGTATTATTTAGGTATACTCGATAGTTATAGCTTATACAAACTCGTCAGGCGCGAGAACACCCGAAAACTATACATTTATATGGCCGCGAGGATTAATTGTAACGCACTTGAACACAACTGAATGGTTGACGGTATTGAGTACGGGTCAAGATGTTTAACGGTGTAATAAGCTGAACTCCGCGTAGTGCCATACTGTATTAATAATATAGTGTCATCATCGTAATTATCGTACACTCGGAACGTTAACACGTATTTAAACTAGTTGTAAAACCGTTGTTTGTGCCAAGAATTTTTTTATTTTATTAAAAAAATTATTCTGGAATATATAACGGTTTATTGTCGATCTTGTTTCCCGTCAGGAATAAATTCAAAGGCCGTAGATTTATCGCGACGGGAAGGTCGATTTGTATTCTCGATACACTTACACCTATACGGAATATATTGCGTAGCGGTATATTCCATTTTAGATCAGCTCGTACGAGGAACACCGTGGTTACGGGTCTTTTCGATACAACAATAAAAATGGACCTTGCAGGACAGCGGGTCCATTGCTGATAAATCGATTTACGACAACCGAATACATCGCCATTGTGAAGATCGATGACGGGATGAAAATCGGTATACTGTATTTATGTACACAATATAACGTGTTTTCTGTGGAACGACCGTGTGGACTGAGTAAATATTTTTTTTCACTTCGATAAATTTTAGAAAAAAAAAAACACGTATTATGCATTACACCGCACAATGGGTGTTATATTTTCACGTTCTATTGTGATGTTTTCAGTGTATTGTAGTGGTACATATAAAAATAATACCTTTTTTAGGTATAGTAAGGAATTCCTTCCTAAATTGTTTGTTAAAGAATGTTCACAATTTATAAATGTTCAAATTCTTCTTTCCAATTTCAACTAGTCATTAACCATCTGCAATTATGTCTATAATATGTTATATATGTTTATTTCAAGTTCTTCCACCACACCAAATATCTAATTGCAAAGTAATACTTTTAAAATATAGTTACATAGTTGATATTTTATATGATATTTGTTTGAAAATTAAAAAATTATAGTTTATTCGATAGCTGAAGCCAAAAAAATAGTATAAGAACACAAGTACTTTTTTTTTCAAGAATGGCTATGAAAAAATAAAAAATAATCATACATTTTTAAATGCAGTTCGTAAATACAGCCGTATAATGGAAATTTTATACGTATTTATGTATTGACTCAATTTAGAGGATAATTTGTGAATTCATAAAAATCAAGATCAAAGTTGGCAATATTTTATCAAGCAAGGGATACCAGTATCGACTGGTTTGAGACAAAGGGACGCTCTGTCACCCATATTATTTATTATAGCGTTAGAAAAGATCATCGGGGAGAGCCGTATTGAAGAAAACGGAGTACGATTGGGAGGATGCATAATAGGAGTATTGGCCTACGGAGATGGCATTGTATTACTTACGGAAAATAAAGAAAATCTCAGGGAACAAGCGGGAAAATTTTTAGATACGGCGAAAAGAAAGGTTTAGAAATAAATGCTGAAAAAACTGAGTACTTGATTGTGCAGAAAGAAGAGCTCGCTGATTATATTCACACATTTTTAGAAATTGGACAGTACAAGTTTCAGAGAGTGCAAGAGTTCAAATACCTGGGAGCGATTTTGATAGAAAAAAACGACGAACTTACTGAAATAAAAGCAAGTCTCCAATCCGGTAATAAATGTTATTATGGACTAAGTAATTTGTTAAATGCAAGAAGGATATCGAAGAACCTCAAGATACAACTGTATCGTACCCTCATCCGTCCAGTAGTAATGTATGATTGTGAAGTATAGACGTTACGGAGATCAGATCAAAACAGACTACTGATATTTGAAAGAAAAATATTAAAACGAATTTTCGAACCTTGTATAGATGAGACCACGGGAGAAAAGAGAATTTGAAATAACGAGGAACTTAAACTGTTGTACCAAATGCCTGATATAATTAGTGAAATTAAAAAAAGGAAACTTCAATGGGCAGGACGTGCATGGAGAAAAGATGGTACTTTAATTCGAATGGTTCAATGTGGGACTCTTCAAGGAAAAAGACCCTTGGGACGACCCCAACTAAGATGGGAAGACTAAGTAAGGAAGGACGTATAAATATTAGACCCAAGGGCCGAATGTCATAGCGATGGATTATAGAGTGAAATGGCAAGATATATGTTTGAATGTATGATCTTAATGATCGATTACAAAGAAGAAGAAGTAGAATAAATTATATATGTAAAAATGGCATTAGCCCAAACATTTTAAAAATAAAATATTGATTCGGGAGATAGTAAATTGCAGTATATTATTTCATAAAGTCATTTTTCTTAAAGTTGATATGTAATCTGAAGAAAAAAAGTCTAACATTATAAATACAATTTGCGACAAAATAATTTATTTTATGTTGGTACGTATTATATATTGTTTAAACATACCGATACCAAAAAATATAATTAATACGAACACTTTATATGCTATACCAATACGTGTTATTGTAATACATATATTCATGTATATTATACAAATTGATAGATCCAAATGTATTTCAACTACACACTAATTATTGGTTCTTTTACTTGTGATAATATTAGTTAGTACCAACTTACTAGTGTTAGAAGTCAGTAGAAGATGTAGATAGTAATAAATGCCGTATCGTTTTAATATTTAATTTTAAATAAAATTTACAATAATGTTTAACCAAAATGACAAACGATTTATAGTGCTAAACAATTTTAAATTTAAATTAAAATATTAATCCAAAAAAGTGTTTATAAGACTTGGGAATGCTCAAATAAAACACCGAATAATTCTACCAACTAATATTGATACGAGCAAACCTAGTGATAGGCGTATATTATAATATTGTATTGAAATATTTATTATTTATAATAATAACGGTTCAGGGAGAGATGCTCGGAATTGTCATGGACGGATGTGTGGTGGGGGCGGTACTGTCATTTGTTGTAGGTACCGACTACGGGTGGTGTTTTATTTCGATTATAATGCATGTTATGTGACGTCATTGCCGAAGATGCATGTTCATAATATATATATATATATATATATATATATATATATATATATATATA